GAAAACGTACTTACGTGAGTCAGAACTGCCATTTTAGTCTAACGTTACTCTTCCAGGAGTACTCTTAAAATGTGCTGCACACATCTGAATATTTGGGTTGAAGGGTCCTTGAACAGTGTTGTAAATACAACTTAACCACTGATTTGTAGTCGTGTCCTGTTTTGGAATACCAAACAAAGTAGTTTCGCTTTCACAACGAAACACAACGTTACACACGGAGGGCTAGAGTGAGCAAAGGCGGCGGGCTTGAGAACGGCGCGGCCGGCGGATTCGACGAAGGAGGCTTGCGGCAACCACATGTGACGACCCCGGGCTGGACTCCGCTTCGTCCACGGTGAAAGCCGATCCAGTGATCCACAGCGCGAAGTTGATGTATTTCCTTAGCGACCAGCACGTATCAGCTCCAGGCATGACGAAGCAGATATCGTCCTCTTTTGGAAGATCAAACAAAGTAGTTTCGCTTTCACAACGAAACACACAGTGCCTTCACGACATGGTGGCGGCAACAACAATACTACAGCGAGAATAAAAGTTACACCTTCTTTCTTTGCGTGAACATTTGGGCGGCGTTATGCAAATCTTCCCACATAGTGAGGTAGATATGTGGGGGCGTGTTAGAACGAGCCGTTTTAGGTAGGCGTGGTTGACTCTTAACTTTTATAAAGAATATCTCTTTGGATTTGAGACTTTAGTCTTTGCAACTTTACAGATCTTCTTTATGCACCAAGAGCTTGTAACACTCCAAAGAGAAAGGAAAATTTGAAATTGCATCATATGACCCCTTTAAGGATGGATCAGTATGATTGACAGGTTGACTAGTCAACCAATTAGTTAGATGTCAATGAACAAATTTGTCTATTTTTTTTACTTCATATTTTTAACAGCAATGCTTGTAAACATACACAACTGTTCAAAAGTTATATACATTTTTGTATTTATTGGAAAGAAGTTCATACTTTTCAGCAAGAATGCAAGAGTAAAGACGTTTATAACGTTACTAAAGATTTCCACTTCAAATAAATGCTGTTTTTGAACTTTCTATTAGAGATGCACCGATTGTAATTTTCTTGGCCAATTCCGATTTTCGATTTTTTTGTTAGTGTGATCTGCCGATTTTCTTTCTAAGAACTATAATTGACAGCATATACAAACAAAAATCTAATTTTCTTCAACGCAAAGTTTTATTTTCATAAAAAAACACAAGTAAAATGTCAGTAATAAAATAAGAACAAATAAAAAATGTTGCAAACAACAGCACAAATAAATGCAATAGAATAAAGAGAGCTATGAAACTAAGTTTTTATTCAGTTAAGAAATCCTACAGAAATTAAAGTAATCAAATGTAAAATAACACATCCAGTGTTATTTTACATTTGATTACTATAATTTCTGTAGTCTTCATTGTAAAAATTTAATACAGATAAATGCTTACAATTAAAGTTATAAAAACATATTCAGTCAAGAGCAGAAAATGATTTTCTCTGTCTTTTGTTCTTTGATTAACATGACAGACAGCAGCAGGTATATTGGACTGCGGTCCCTTTAAGAGTTTATCCACAGACCCAATATACTGTTACACAACATGCGTTCTCTTTCTCAACTATTTAACGTTCCAAAACTGACTGTGTTTAACTGGATACTTGCCAAGACGGGAATTTTGACAATTTTGTATGCATTTGAACGTTTTAGCGCAGTTAGCCACTCATTTAGGTATTTGTGGCTCACAAGCTGTTTGAGACTGAGCACGGCTTGTGCGCTCCACTAATATAGATCAGTGGTGGTGCGCGCATGTTTGGTGTAAGCGCGAAACCTGCGGGAATGACTTAATGCGCAATACAAGCACTATTTAACCGGAGCGAATGAGACGTGTTTGAGAGAGAAGGGGTTGTCGGAGAGATGAGAGCAAGAATGCGCGGCTGATGTTATTGCCTGTGGCGCTGGTAACAAAACGGATCGGCTCAGAATCAGAAAGAAGTGAGACTGATCGGCCGATTCCGATCCCTGGCCGATCGATCGGTGCATCTCTACTTTTTATTACTTAAAGAATCCTGGAAAAAAAAGTATCACTATTTTCACAAAAATATAACTATTTTCAACATTGATAATAATCAGAAATATTTCTTGAGCAGCAAATCAACATATTAGAATGATTTCCTGTGACACTAAAGATTCACTGGAGTAATGATGCTGAAAATTCAGCTTTGTATCACAGAAATTAATTACATTTTTACAGATATTCAAAAAGAAACCAGTTATACTAATTTGCAATAATATTTCACAAAATTACAGTTTTTACTGCATGAAATAAATGCAAAAACAAAAATCTTACTTTAGAATAGAATTGCATTTCGGAGAAGAGCCTAACTAGAAAAATATATGCACTATAGAAAATTCCAGGCTGGAAACCCATTTAAAATCCCCTGATATTTCCTGGTTTTCAGTGACTGGCTCTTTAATCACTAGGCCACACCACTTTTTGGTTGTAGCTGTGACAGAGGCGCGGGCCGTAGCCTCATGCACACACAGCTGCAGCCGCTGTCTCATCATCATCATCATGCCCACTGTCATTACATTACTAATGGCTGAAGAAATTGCAGCCTTGGTGGCAGACAAACCACTATAGGGGGTATTTATAGAGCGGGGGACCAGGAGGAGGACAACAGCAACCCCTTTTTTAACTGGTGCGCAAACAGCATGGCGTTTCCTCACTGATATCGTTCAGTTCATTCATATATGCGAGTCATAGGACAATAAATACTTTACTATTTAGATTTCGGCAATAGCAGCAGCCAAAAAATATAGAAAAAATAAGCCAAGTTTTGACATGTTGATATGAGGAATTTGGTCTCATATGGATCTGTTGTGTTCCTCTGCTCCAGCGTTCTTCCTGAAATAAGAGCTTGGAGACTTTCATTCCGTTCCTGCTCATCAAACTGCAAAACACTGCAAAAAACATTCTCTGGGCAGTTTGAATTTACAATTTGTGATGGTGAATTATTCAAACATAAGCAAAAACAAAAACTGTTGCGACTCATTGTCAAGACCCATGGATACAGACCTGCTTTATTCATGGTTGCATCATTGTAACTCATCAAATCTGAGTCAACATGCATCCAAAAACTAAATGCGTGCATACAGAATTTCTCTTTCTTCTTGTTTTCCAGTACAAATATCTAAACATTCATAAATCAAGACAAAAGGCTTGCTTTCTGAAAAATACATATTAAAAAAAATAATGTATGCTTAAAATAAGAAGAAAAAAAATCTGCCAATGGGGTTAGAAAAAAATAATCTTAATTAAATAATCTTAATGAATAAAATAATCTTCTCAAACAGAAAAAGAAAAATTAAAAAAAAAATTCATACCCCACTGGCAGATATTTTACCTTGTTTTAAGCAAAAACTTGCTTAATTTTGATAGATATTAGACTTGCTGTCTGAAACTTTAAGTCAATTTGCTTCTCATGTAAATATATCTGAAATCTCAAATATATGTATCTAATAATACATTTATCTAATATTTATCTATAAGAATGTTTACATATTTGTACTGAAATTTGCTAATTGTATTGTGATATTAGCTACTAATACATTTATTAAGTTATTTTAAATCTAATTTCCATCAAAATCCACAAATCCACTGTAGAAATGATTTTCTTGCTTACTATTTTTGTACAAATATCTACAAATTCTTAAATCAATATACATTTACTTGAAATGACATAAGACATTAAGTCTTGTTTTCTGAAAAATTTATAAAAATTAAGTGTGTTTATGCTTAAAACAACAAAAAATATCTGCCAATGGGGTTAGAAAAAATAATCTTAATTCAAGGGGAAATTTTTTATTTTTCTTACACAAGATATTTGTTCTTGTTTTAAGCAAAAACTCGCTTAATTTTGATGGATATTAAGTCTTGTTTTCTGGAAGTCATTTTGCTTTTCAAGTAAATGTATCTAAATGTAAACATACTGTATAAGAATGTTTTTGTACTGGAAAACAAGACAATATTAAAGAAGAACAATATTTTCCCCTTGTGCGGATCAGAATAACCAATTTCAGTCACACAAAGCTATTCTGTGGCACCTGAACACTTTGAATACGGTGTCATGTTCACTGCAGTTGTAAGAAAAATAGCTAAATATTCCAAATTTGTGTTCAATTGAAAAAAAAGTATCTAGAAAGAGAAGAGTGAGTGATTTAAGACAGAATTTTCATTTTTGGCGTTTTGGAGGACCTATTCCTAGAAATGTACTCACCATCTCATAAGCGGTGACCACTTTCTTCAGCACTTCAGGCAGCAGGCCCTGGGCCTCCATGGTGGGGTACTGATCTTTGAGGTTAAACAGCAAAACCAGGCTGCTGTCCGGCCCGACGAGGCGTGGGGACAGCGCTAGTATACACTGCTTCAGGTTGGCCACCGCAGACAGACCGCAAAGCTCTTTAAACGGCACAATGGCATTCTGTGAAGGACATGTAGGTCAAAGAGTGAGCGTGCACATAAATGTTCTGCAGCACCGAACACATTGTTTTGTTTATGATAATATCTACCACCAAATGTTGGGCTACACGGTTAATCAAAATGAAAGCGAAATTGCAATATGTCTTTGATTTAATAAATATCTATATGTGCTGTGTGCTTCAGAGTGAAGCATGGCACTGTGTTCTTTTACACACGAGCTGCTCATTATCTGACGGTGTTTGCATCTTCCTATACTTGAAATTAGAAGAGTTTATCAACAAAACAGAAACCCTGTGGTCTTCCGTCAAAAGGATTTCAAAGGTTTGACGTTTGAAAAATTAAGAAATTAATACAGCCATAAATATAAACAATTGTATAAACATAAATATAAGCAATTTTACAGTTGTAATTTAAAATTAAATTATTAAATTATTTGTTACATTTTGTTATATTATTAAATTATGATATTATTTTATATTATTATGTGGTGTTCCATCAAAAATATTTTTCAAAAGTTTGACGTTTGAAAATTTAAGAAATACAATGTTTCTTACATACTTGATTTTTTTCCAGTGAAATATTACAAATTTAATATTTCTTATTTTACTTTATTTAAATTTTTTTAAATATTTTATTTAGTAGAAGTAGCAGCCATAATAATAATAATAATAATTATTATTATTATTATTATTATTATACTTTTTCATAATTTTAATTTTAATAATGTTTTGTTTTTCCTCAAATTTAAGTTATTTCAATAATTTTCACTAGGTTTCCTATTATTTTATAGTCATATTGATATATAATAACAGAATTTTGGCCAAATTGTGCAGCAACTAAAAGAAGCACAACAAACCTGGATGCTTTACTTTTTAAATGTTTTTCTATGCATTTAAATTGCATGGAAATTTATACTATAAAAGTTGCAATTTGTTTTTTTCCCCCAAATAAAGCAGCCCTAACTAAATATATTTTAAAAATGCTATTACAAAGTACAATAGTTGCTGGCTACTATTATGTTTGGAATGGAATACTAACATACTGCATACTGTGCGTATAATTTGCTAAAATATTATATATATATTTTTTTTTTACATGAGCTTATCAGATATATAATCTTAAAAATACATACAATATTTTGCACATTTAAACTCTCACAGTCCAATTAATGTATATTTTTTTTAATCAAGGGCTTAACATCAATAATAATAATAATATCACTTACAGTTTATTGGAAATGTTGAGATCATTGCATTATGTGATACAGTATGCATACTGCATGCTACACCTAATATACTGTATATGCATGTACATGTAACACGCAGCAGAAATAGCAAGAGCATTAGCATGCTATTCTGAACATAATTGTGGGAGGTGACGAGAAAACAAAAGCCAAGCCAATGGCAGCAATGTGCTGACTTCCCCACAGTGAACGTCCACAAACAAGAAATGCGATAGGAAGTGGTTTTTGTGAGTGTTTCTTCTACAAATGCACTGCTCTGAATGTGGGAGGAAGATGCCATTTTTCTTGTGAAGGCTCCTCTCGTGAGTTTAAGACACAAGCAACAGCAATATTTAACAGAGACACATATAACTACTGAACGCAGCAGAAGCGTCACAGCCTCAGAGCCTGGAATTGTTTCCACAGGAAGAATGCAATGTAAACAGAACTACTAAAATACTGTTATGAATAGAATAGCTTACGCTGAAATAAAGCAAACACCAAAGCAGGAGGACTATGTATACTGCTCCATTCTCTGATCTAAAACCTTTAAATGTAAAATAACTGAGGCATTAGGGATGTGAGTTATATTAATATATTCATGATGTTTTTGCTAGCAATATACTGTAAAACTAAACATTGTGAATTTCCCCCCCAAAAATTGGAATGCTTTCTGTTAATCAATTCAAACTGTTAATTTAAATGAACCGATTCTTGAGCCGATATACTTAATTTACCATTGGTCGTAAACCTTTTATTAGCTGTATGCGATTTAGTCAAAAATATTGAGAAATCATTTCTTTTAGCTTTCCAGCCCTACAAAGCATTAATATAAAGAAGCTGCACTGAAATATTCTTTTGATCATCACTGATCCTGAAGTATGAATCAAGGTCATTCTGACAAGATTGCTATATTCATTCTAAAGGCAACCGCCCAAAAACCAACGAACAAAAACAAATTGAAACACCATCTGCGGTATAATCTTAAGAAGAAGAGAAAAAAAACTGTTTCCTGACTTCAAAATCTGCTCAGTGCCTCTTGTTATAGTAGTGCCAACCCCTTTTATCCATGAGACGTTCTCCTACCTGTAGCCTATGTATGAGTATATTTTCAGTTCTTGTGTCTAAAAAAGGGTCTGTGGTCAATCTTCAAGGTGTTTTTTGTACCAGTTCAACAAGTTGCAACATCGAGGAACTGCAGCTGATTAAAATCAGCATTTTTGTTTATCAGTGCCAGAGAGGTTTCAGTTCAAGTGCTCCTGGCCTTGCGAGAAGAAACGTCCTGTAAGCTGTGCTTCCTTCTCAGGGTCGACTTTTTGAAGTTTGATTTGAGAAAACTTTCTCATGCTACGAAAAGAAGACTTTTGTCACACTGAAATACAGTTGGGCAAGCTGTCTTGGCAAGCTCCAAACTAAACATTTCCTGATTCAAGATATTTGCATAACTTGAATGGGGTGAATCTCACAAAACCTGTCCATGTCATATGTCACCTAAAAATCTAAAGAAAGAAATATGACATTATATTTTTCCTAATCAACCCACAAATAAGACTCATCATGACCATAATGCAAAATGATTTTACAGTTTGTATGACACCAATGACTGGTATCATGTTTTTAATAAAATTATTTATTATTAATTTAATTGAAGACTATATGTATATATAGTAAGTGAAATTGATTTTCTGATTTGTTTTTGCTTTCTTTTTTTTTGTTTTGTTATTATGCCAAATATGTTATTTGGTCAAAATATATTTTTTAAATATCTCATTTATTTATTCTTAGATTTTGGGGAGAAATATCAACTAGAATTGATTTTACAATAGTCACCTTGATCTTTGCATTCACACTGAGCCTTTATGGCATTCATGTACAAAACAAGTCACGACTTTGTTTCTCATTGAGGTAAGCGTTATCTCACCTGCATGTTCTCTCTGAGATCAGTGGCCTCCCGAAGTGGCTGTGCAGCAGATTTAAAGACTTCATCTATAGTCTTGATGAGAAGTATCCTCATGGTGGCGTACTCCCGACCCTTTTTACCCTTGCGCACCGAAAGCCCCCTTTTGTGAGGTTTACCCCCACCACGACGGTTAGTAATGGCCACATGGACGAAGAGCCAGGCGTGTGGAAGGACTTCGCCCGTCAGCGACTGCAGGGGAATGTGGCGGAAACCTGGCTGAATGCATTCAAATGGAATTGTGTGCTGACCGATAAACTCATCCCCAATGTAGTCGTCATCCAGAACAACAAAGCGCACCATTGCCAGTTCCGGAAGGTTAATCTGAAACTCGAAACTTTCGTCAAAGATGGGGTTGTCGCCATTCTGATGGATCGTTTTAGTCCTTTGTTCTGCACAATCCGCAGGGATGCCATGAATTTCAATATAAACGTATGGATCTACCACATCGCCTTTGGCGCCTGAGCCCTTGGGTTTAGGCAAATTTTGTCCGCTAATGATCTTTATGTGAAGGAGTTGTGGAGACACTCCCGGAACAGAGTCTTTAGTATTGGCACTGAAATAAGACACCTGCTCCCTCATGATCGCTGGGCGTAAAACATACCCACAGTTCCCGTTTTGTCTAAACCAGCCAATGTTGAGGTCCATCATGAGACCCGGTGTTTGATAGTTCATTGCTACTATTTGACAGCCGCATTTCCAAAAGTCCTGCGGGTTCATGTTGCTAGAATCAATTCGCATTGGACTTGGGTAAACCCTTGCTAGAAACTTCTTGTTGTAGTTAACAAACTCACCAGGGTGGTCAGTGGCACACCGACTGGCAAATACCTCATTGAAGGAGCAGAGCTCCCAGTGCTTCTGGTTCTGGAAAGCTGTCTTGAAATCCTTAAACCGAACAGACTTACATAAGGTTACCAAGTCGGACAGATCCTTGGAAAGCTGGAACTTTTTGGGTTGAACAACCGTCTGCTGCTCGCCACCCTCATTGTTCATCCGTTGAGACATTTCCGCACCCTCGTCCTCATCCGTCACCTCGCCTTCGGAGCCGGTGCAGTTGCTCGCAAGTTTCTTTCCTTTCAGAAGAATCTTTCCCTTTAGGTCCGAAGGGGACGGAAGGTAGCTGTCCTCAAGGTTGGGAGGATCCGCGTGGATTTTGTCTCCGAGTATTTTCTTCAGGTGCTGAAACATTACCTTCTGTTGCTTCAAGGAACAGTGGTTCTCCAAGCACAGGATCAGAGGAAATTCCGAGGCTACGAAAGCGTATTTGTTGATGATGTCAATGACGCTGCGGAAGACAATATGTGAGGTCATCGTATGGCCCGTGTAAATGACCGGTTCATTATCCGGCCCATCCCATACATCAAGTTCCACGCTCCTGCAGCCCATCTTCAGGGCACGGATGTAGCCCGTAATGTCTGACGGACCCCTGAACTGGTCCTCAATCAGGTAGGTATTGTGGGAAGAGTTTATGTAATAGTGAGAAAGGGGTTGGTTCATGTCTTGGCATACTATTTTTTGTTCAGGATCAAAGATGTGGCAGTCTGCTGACATGAGGTAATTGATAAACCCATCCAGGGAGAGCCATCCCTTGTGTTGCCCCTCCTTCGAAGGTTCATACTTCTGAATAATTTCCACGCTGATGTCTTCGCTCACCTTGGCCATGCCCTGCTCTGCCTCCAAAAAGATCATCAGGTCCTTGGTGTCAAGAAATTCCTTGTTGCTTGAGAACTGCACCAACAAAAAATAGATTTCTGGTCTTGTGCAAAGGTCGTGAAAGACTTCAATGAACTCCTCCTTAGTCACGTCAGAACCGATTTTATCTTTCGCTTTGTGCAACTCTTTGAACTTCAGCTCTATCTTGACATTTTTCAGCCCAGGACTTAACTTCTTGATCAGCTGCACGGCCGAACAAAGACTAATGCATTTTCCACCAATGACATCGGCTTCGTCGAAGAGGTCGCCCAGCCAGGACGCACGCATGTTGTCCTGACTGCTCTGGATCATGTTAAGAGTGTGTTTTCCATATGATATTAAGTACCTGAGTCCAGTCACCCATATATTTGCTACATCGGCTGAATTTGCCACTAAATCAAGTGATTCATAGTTCTCCCCATAGATTATAGAGAACGCACAATCCTCGGAAATCTGATCCGAATTTCCATTGGTCCTGAAGGTGTCCGTGTTTTTACCAGTTCGCACCTCTTTAATTGATTTTACATCAATCTTGGCCTTGTCCGACTCTTTTTTGGATGGCTCCCATCGCAAAGACTGCATGTCGGCATCTAGGAGGAAGTAACGGTGGTAGACTCTGGAGTTGGAGCGTACTTTCCTTAGTTCAGACCCGTCCACCATTGAATTAATACAGTCACTTGCACTGCTGATCTTCTTCTCTGTTGGCATGCTACTGAATGACACCGTCTTTTTCCTTTCCTTGCACCGCCTGGAACCATCCTGGAAAATAAAGCAATTTATCATCAGTATTGACTTGCTTGACAACGATGAACACATTTATGTAGAGGCATTACATTTTGACTTTCAACAATAATGTTTCAACCAAACTTTTAGAAAACAAGCTAAATTATAAAAAACAAACTGTATAAACTTTAAATTTGATTATTTATTATTTTATACTAATTTCATGAGGTTACTTAAATTTATTTTTAAGTGTTTATCAAATATTTTGATAAACATTATTTTGTTAACCTAAATTGTTGATTAGACACATGTGAGGTTTATAACTCGTTTCGATAAAAATTCACATGGATAGCCTATAGATTTACATCAGTGCACATTTGCATATTTATTAAGCACATAATTTGCATAATTAAGATGTGCATTACAGTAATTTCATGTTGACTTTAAAATATAAACTACTGAATCAGCATATTCAAATATGTTAAAGGAGTAACATAAAATGGGTAAAATATGGATGACAATACAAACTAGAGTTTTCCTGTTGCATCATCTCTGTTGGTGTGCGCTGTAATCACTGCTGGTCTTGTGACCGAAAAAGAGCATCAATGTGTCCTTTACTTTTATACCACCCTGAGCCTACAGGCAGGAACAGAATGAGCTAAACCAGGCTTAATTAAGAAAATAATTACAACCATTTCATCATGAGAGAGAAGTTAAGTCTTCACTGGGGTGTTTATGGCCTAAGAAAAATGCAATATAAGTTTAAATGTTCTTGGCACTATTTCTATCACAATATCTGTTTTTGCCCGTTTATTAAACAAACACACTGCATTAGGACATACAGTAAAAAAAAGAATGCATGCAGAGTTTAAATTACATTCCGTACTGCCAAGTTCTTTCAGACTTGATAAACTCATAACATTGCTGACAAATATACTAGGGATGCACCGATATGAAAATTTTGGCCGATACCGATAACCGATTATTCTTTATTTTTGAAAGCCGATAACCGATATGTTGGCCGATAACTCTATATCCAAATTGTTATATACTTTTTGAGAGCCTGATTACATCTCATCATTAAAAGCCACATCCCAAACACTTCAACATAAGCAGCCTAGTTTGAACGGTGTACGTTTTAAGAACAATTGGATCAACAATCTGCAAACAAAGAGATGAAAATGAACAAAACAACAGCTTTGATGTGGCAGTACACAAAATCCAGTTAACAACCACTGCATAGTCCCCACTCTAAATTTTTTTCAATAATCCATTATCGCTAGATGTACATAACAATATGGAATAAAATATAGTTACCACTGCAGTTTCTTTGCAACTTTAATCATTACCATTATGCAAATAATGTTTACATTGTTAGTGGTATTTTTCAACATCATAGGCAAAACACAAAATACAATATGTCATCACCATGCAAATATCACTTTATTACATGCATATATCTGTATTTTGCGAAAAACACTTATTTATAGTGGATAATTGCAATTACATAAAAGTATTTTTAGTGAGAAAGAACACAAAAAAGTGCCAAATGCCTAAAAAACTTGCTTAACATCGTTTGTTTCCAAAAGAATCAGCAGTATGTAATCCTGTAAAACAAAACCTGCACACCTAAGCTGTATAAAGTGAATAAAGCTGAATAAATTATCTACAAACAGCCATTCATGCTTCACGTGGTTATTTAAATCCCAGAAGACTTCCATAATCTGACTTATTTCCAGGTAAAAAAAAAAAAAGATGACCAATGAGGAAAAATTAAGGTTTTATCTATTTGAAATTGACTGGATCATAAAAATTGGACATTGCATACCACAACGGAGTCAGATAAGTCAAATATTAATAAATAAAATAACAACATAATAAATATATACTGATGTAGTTTATGCACAAAATAATACTGAGAAGGTTTAGGTCTTTAAGCATGTGTAATGCTCAGAATACGCCAAATAATATTTGGTTGAGCAGAAACTGTAGAGTTTGCTCCGGGGGACCATGACCCCAAGAGACACGGAGACACGACACTGACAGATTTGTCAACAAACACTGTCCCATGGTAACCTCATGTCCCTTGAGAGGTCAGGCCAAAATCTGGCCCCCATCCATCCGACCTTCTCTCAATATGATGCCGCGCAGGTGCTGGAGCTGCAGCACTTACTGAGAGTAATGGCCCAAGCGAATGTCAATGGCTTTGGTCCACTGGAAATTTATTATAGCTGGGTCAAAGGAAATGTGCCTTCCTGTTGGAAACAACTGAGCTTTGGAGGTTAAACTAATTCTGGTTGGAGGGAATAAACCCACAGTAATCATTAGGGCTGCCCTCTAATAGTCGACTAACATTTAGTTGGCGAGAAGAGGCTTGGCCGATCAATTTTATTAGTCCCTTAGTCGCAGAAAAAATAAAAAAGTGAGGTCAGGTCACACAGTCCGTGACGGACAGATCGTTAACTGCTGGATTTTGTAATGTTTGTAATCCATCATTAATCGACCTCAGATATGGCTTATCATCTGAAATATGTAAGTAGTAGCAACTTTACATGGCCACTCAATCTAATGTTAACCTAGAAAAATGTGTCGCGCGCTCACAGCATGACAGATGGTGGCGCCGGTGCGGTCACTTGCTCTTAAAAAACTGTCATTTTGGTCATACGGATAAGAGTAATACATCTTTTGAATCTGTAAAGCCTCTACGCTTATTTGTGTGCACTCTTGTGTGTGCTTTTGTAAAATAATGAAAGCAAACACGACACGCTTTCTGCCGTCTCTGTCTGTGAACTTGAGCACGAAACTCAGTGTATACTTGCCTTACAGACATGAAAAATATATCTATAGAGAGTGAAATGTCTACTTTCAAATTAGTGTGCTTGGCGGTATGCCGGTGTTTTATTTTTGTTATGATATGAATTTTTAAAATACCGCAATACCGTATGTCGCTTAAACAACGTTTGGAACGCGACACTGTTGCACTGTGGTGAGGGAACAGCTGTAT